TCAGAGCTACTGTATGCACAGCCAAAACAACAGAAATCTGTCTTAAATACCATTAGTATATTTAGCACTACCACAATAAAAGTTAAACATGACTGCAGCAGTCTTGAAGTGCAAACCATTATCTCCTAAATTCTGCTAGCTTTTATGACTGAGCTGCCAACAAGAACATTAAGTGACATAATCCCACCTATTTCTTCATGATCGCACTTCCGAAGCAAAACGGACAAGTGACATATTATGTCAGAGAAAAATAAAAATACAAGTGCATAAAGACTAATTTAACAAATCCAAAATAAGCAGAAGTACATACTGTAAAATTAGCAGCATGTTACTTCATGTATACAGATACAACTAGAAAGATTCATAAAACTGTCAATAAAATGGAGGAAATCAGCTATCAAATAGCAACAGTCAAACATATGCACACAGGTAATTTCCTCATATCATGTTAGGCTGTTATTCACTCACCTAAAAACTAAGCAAGAAAAGACACACACAAAAACTCCAAACAAACAAACAAAAAAGCCCCAAATTGAAACATTTAGAAATCCAGGATATCCAGCAAGGCAAAAACTTTGCAGAACTATGAAAAGAGTAATTAAATCATACATATCTACAGAGATGGGATATTTTTAACTGTCCACTGACTTTAAAAAGGAATCAACTTCTGCAAGACTGGTTGGTGACTTCCATTTGTCTTGAAAAGATTTCTGATCAGCTCTACTGCTGTAATACTAAACCCCCAAATTTAGTTATTTTATCTGGAGACAGTGATTTAAATTATTACTTGTGTTGTTGAAAAGTGACAACAACACAGGCAATTGAGCCTGTACATCCTGCTTGTCTGATCATGATATACATGTACTGTAAAAAAATCTAAGTGCTTGTAGCTTCAAATTAGATATATACATTTGCAACACAGCAAATATGTACATCACTTCACAAAAGTGACTGCTACCAAGCGGTAAATGACAGCCAGTCACTTCCACACTGCCTGGACAGCATTCAAAAGGTACATGTAAAAGACATTAAAAATAATGTTAAATAACAGATACATTGCAATACAACACAACATAAATTGATTGCATTGCTGCATAGTTTCATTTTGCAAAGGCAAACTGAATGTTGGCATGATGTTAACTAACCAGTAATATTAATAATAAATGGTAATCACCAGCCAACTAAAACAACTGCTACTTTATTTTTAGTGAATAAGGATGGCATAAAAATTTACAGAAAGATTTGAGGGTTTACAGATATATAAACAGGATCATATACGGTAACATCTGAACTAAAACTCTGCAAAATCATTGGTCAGAGCACCGCTTCAAAGCTTGAAAAACATGACCGACAGGAACCAAGTTACACACAATGAAATAAACCTGTTACAACTCTCTAGACCCTCAAAACTACACCTGGTCAAAAAAAAACTAAAAAAACTATCATGTTTTCAATGTTACAACTTCTTCAGTTGAATAAGACAAAAAAACCAAAACACAACCCAAACAACTGATACATTTGTAAACTCAGTAAACACTAGACAGATGCTTGAGACTATGGAAAAAGTACCTGCTTAATGTTACTCAGATTCTGTCACAATCAGATAACGCAATTCTCCACAGATTATTTATCCTATGCAGTATATTTCTTCTCTATTTGCTACAGTTTATTTTCTGTCAATCTAACAGATTGTAGATACATTTTCCAAATTTGTTCCTTTGTATCCATTTCTTTTTGGTACACCTGTAGGAAACTGATTTACTGTCTAAGTGACTTCACATCATTTCAGCATCAAGTTTAACTGAAGGCCATAATGTATTCACTCTCATATGAATTAACTGAAAATTCAGTTTCCTCTCCAAGTTTGAAAAAAGACTTCACATTTCTGCAGTACAACAAAATAATTTTCTATAATAGCAGTTCTTCAACTCTGCTTCTAGCAAGCCATCTTCCAAATTCACAACGCCACTTTCACTCACACGTGACTTCAACAGCCAAAACCTTATATTCAAGTGCTCTAAATCTTAATACTTTAAGGAAACTAAAAGGGAACAAGACATATCTGAAAGTAGCAGAGGGAAGGCACAACTCACTTCCTCCACAATCTCCTCTATCCTGTTACTGTATCTCATGACTTAACATTTCTAACCCCTCAATTTCTGTATGAAATTTCTGCATTTTAGGTGAGCAAAAAACTACAGTCTCTTCTGCTGAAAACAAATTATGCACACTTTATGATTATTTTAAACTGTAAAAACCAGTACTGCTACCAAAATAAATAATAACTGCAAGATAAAAAAATAAAATGGGGAACTAATCCATGTTAAAACAAGCTTCTTCCTTCTTGTCAGATCAGTTTTAACTCAGATTAATTCTTGATTTTGGTTTTGAACTGTATGCTATGAATGCAGAACCACTTCTTTCTTGAGCAGGGAACACGTAAAGCAACTATCACTTACATAGTTGAGAACATTCTGTTTAAATACTGTTGAGTTCTTAATTTCATTTTACTTACAGCAATACCTTTAGCATTAGTCTATCCTGTTGGATTTTGTTTTTAAATGCCATTTACCAGCTGCTCCCTTCAAGTCTGTCATCTAATGCTTATAAACTTAGGTCTTAACTTGACAACCCACCTGTTTTGTTGATTTTTTAGTTCCATTAAATATCTTCCAAGCAAGACCGTTACCACCACTGGCAATATGTCGGCCAACATCAAATTCCCTGGTAACAGGATTTCCCATGACTGCACTGGTGACATCAGCCGTTACCTTTGTAACGGTACTCTTCAATTTATTCAGCATGGACTCCATTGTCTCAGATGTGCACCAATGTATTACTCTACAAAGACAAGAAAAAAAGCACTTCATAGTCCTCCCACAATTTCTGTTAACATAAGAAGCATGTTGTAAACTGTAACAGCTAACCAAGGATCCAACAGGATACAGGAGTAACCCAGAAAAATAATACTGAAATATAACTTCAAGGTCTTTGCAGTTACACATATTCACACTGCATGCACATCTCTCCCTGCACATGCTTGGGGATTGTATGTCATTGCTTCTACTTCTTCTCATAAACTTCTCAGTCACTTGATCACTCTTCATTAGATCTAACAATGCAAATAAGGACTGAGAACTTCATCCATTTCTTGAAAATTAGCAACTGAATAAAGCAGAGAATCTATAAACTGCTCCCATGAAGGGACAGATTCACACCTTGTATATCAATATCAACAAAGAGAACCAAATATTTTCTGAAGGGAGGGATTGTTTAAGATCCCAGATCAGCAAAAGAAGAGATGTGTATTACACATAAGACAAGTAGAAAGTATGTTCTCTCCTACATTGTGACCGTCAAAATACAAGCTTAAAATTCAGTACTTTGCCCAGCAGAGTGCTGACATTAGTATTAGAAATATCTAAATATTAATGAACTTAAGTATTAATCAGAGGCCACAGGGGAAGGAAACAAGAAAGAATTTTTTTATCCTTTATTTTAACAAAATTCTACAAGGAAGTTTATATATCACCTTACAAATTTAAGAGCTAAAAGACTGTGGCAGCTGAAAATTTAGTTCCTCTTTTCCTGTACTGTGTACTTCCAGTTTAAAAATCTTTCCCTGTACTGTGTACTTCCAGTTTTCCAAGTAGTGATAATTCGTTCCAAAAGAACCTGACTTGGTAGTCTGCCAGACAGAAGTTCTGAATCCTATGTCCCATTTATAAAATGGTCTCTGCTAACGGATACACAAGAAAGAATGACGACAGGAAAGAAAACATGAGGAGGGGGAAAGAAGAAGAGATAGACAGACACTTTTCCTTATTGGTGTAAGAAAAGATGGAAAGAGAATGCAAGAATTAATTATTTCCTGGAATTAGTTTTACATGGTATATTCAAAAGCAACATTTAAGGATATTTCTTCATACTTTTTCAAATAAGGTGTGAGGAGTACTGATTTCTTCAACTTATAGTAAAATAAACATAAGATAGCACACCAGCAAATGCACTGAAATCTGCAGAAATACTGTTTTAATTTATGGCCTTATTTACCAAATACTAATTTCATTTGCATAATTCACATAAAATTACTTCTTTGAAAAACAGAGAATGTTATTCCTATTCAAATGGAAGTGACAAGATTCTGTTGTGATGAAGATTATATTTTCCATGTCATAGTAACAACAACAAAAGAAGCAGAAGGCACTAACAAATAAACCAATGAGCATTGGGACTAATTAGCCCCAGTGTCCCACTGATGTGAGATGCTTGCTTATATGAATTAAATCTCTTCCCTCTGTATTATATACCTTTATGAGGCAATGTTCTGGCCTACAGAGATTATCTGGTGTCTATTAATACAAGCACTTATGCCACACCTTTATCCACATTCAAAACACCAATGGAGTTGATTTTTTTCCTTTCCACAGCTTCTGAGTCTCATAGAACCTGTAGCAACTTACTTTTGACACCTGCATAGCTCAGTCCACCTTGACTGAAATCAACCACACTAAATTATTTGGATATGCACATCCTCCCTTCCTGGTACTATAGATATGATTCCATTAGAAATCAAAACAAATAATCTGCTTAGTATTAAATTGGAAAGACAGACTTGTTTTCTAAAAGAAGTAATAAACTAAGCAAAACTTCCTAAAAAGTTCTATGAGTTACTGAACAATTCAATCCTGTGTAGATGTATGCACAGTGCTGGAAGCAACATAGCTACATTGCTCTGACTTGGCTGTTGTTGCAGTTATATCCCATCTTCAGCATTCTTTCATAGTGAAATGTAGAAATACACTCATGCTGTGGCTCCATAGATATTTCTCCAACTTCCGTTTCAGCTGTGACACAACTTCATGCTATTAAAAGGAGAACCAGACCAGGAGTTTTACAAAAAATTTAAAAAGAAAGGTATCTGGCTGCAAATATCTTGATCTTGCAAAAACTCAACTTTAAAATCTGAAATAGTAGTTATGGCTTCAATGTGACTACGCATGAGCAGAACCAGATACGACTGCAAGCATATTCAGGGTGGAGTTAGTCTTAATTATGGGGAATGTGAGTTTTAGATATAAGAAGCTGAGTCCAAATACAATGAGACAATCTTAAGAATAATTAAGTACTTACTTGGTATATATTAAGTGTTTTGTTGAGAATATAGCTGGAAATTCCTTTATTACGTAATTCCTTTATTATGTAACTTAATTACAGTACATAATGTTCTATTTCACAGAATCACAGAATGTTAGGGGTTGGAAGGGACCTCTGAAGATCATCGAGTCCAACCCCCCTGCCAGAGCAGGACCAAAAAAACTAGGGCAGATCACTGAGAAAGGCATCCAGACAGGTCTTCAAAGTCTCTAGAGAAGGAGACTCCACAACCTCTCTGGGAAGCCTGTTCCAGTGCTCTGTAACCCTCACAGTAAAGAAGTTCTTCCTCATGTTGAGGTGGAGGAAGATTTTTTCAATATATTAATTCTATTTTATGAATTGTTCTATAGAAAAATGCATGCAATTCTTAACTGTGCAGCCCAAGACCAAACTGTTGTTAGACATAAGCCAATATTCCTCCATAAACGAACTTTTCATTAACCTGACAAATAGGTAAAAACAAGAATCATGGAGTATTATGAATAGGAACTATAGGTATTTCCAGCTCTGAGATTTTATTCTGCAACTATTCCACCAGGCAAACTCTATATGCTAAAGAACTATAAAATCAATCCTAATAAGTTTAAGATAACCACAAGTTTAATTTATTTGTTTTTAAAGCTTGTGCTTTTTTGCATTTTCATTCATTCCCAGCCATCAAATCCTCTCTAATATCAATGCAACACAACCTTTTGTTAGAATTCTCAAAATGAGACATTGTGCAAGATTAATTGTAGAGCTAGTATGAAGAAAATGCATGTGCATTGAACATACATATGTTCAAATTCCTTTCTATAAAATTGAAAGGAAGGTTCTCTATACAAATGGTGGAAAAATGGTGTAGTACTGATTAAATCAGAAGTGCCCTCTGCTGTGGGTGACAGGCTAACTGCAGTGAGAAGCCTGAAAAAGCCACTAGGTGAGAACGATAACAGCATTCCAGTGTCTGAAGGCTTAGGACTTAAAAAAGCAAGCCTGGTAGGCCCTGTCCAACCTGTTCCTCTCCAGCTTGACAGTATACAATCTACTGTTTAACTTAGCTCCTGAGTAAGGAGTACTAAGAAACTAACTTCCCAATATGCAGCTCGGGCTTTAAGTTTATGTCCATCTAACACTGTAAATTTGTAGAAATCCTCACGTCAGCATTTGAACTGTAATCTAAAATTGTGCATTTCTTTTGCTGTATAAAAACTATTGTTATTACCAACTCCAGTAAAAACTCAACATATGTCACCAGGAACAATGTACCTAGAAAGTTCATGCAAAAAAAAATTAACTGCTTTGGATAGTATCTGTAACACTACAAATTATTATATATTAACCACATCCGAAATACACAATGTTCATTATCAACTGTATGAAAACTGGTTTGTTTCATTCTTTTAAGACTGAACGAGTATTTATAGAAAATATAACCACCACGGGCCAACAAAGCAAGTCAGTCACCCACAATGAAACTTTCAGGTTAAAAGGTAATACATGAAAAAAGTACAAGATCTTAAGAGTAACAATGCCTAGACATTCAACACAGGACATGCAGCAAATGTTTAAGAACTCTGATTTCTTCCTCTTCCCATTTCATGGGTAACATTAACGCTACTGATACGAGGTCCATGAAACCTGGCACTAATCCTAAACAGAAATCCAGATGGTCAGTGTCTTGTCTTTATTAATTCCCCTCACAGTCAACAATGATCTTTATGCTGCTGTACATCAGCACAATGCTGAGTTAATTGCTCAGCAAGGTTGTATGCAACTCTCAACACAGCAATAAGAAACAAGCCAGAACATTAAAAATGTTGAAACAGAGTAAAATCAAAACAAAGATTCCTCACCACTCTTTGATTCTCACTCAGGTAGAACAACTGCATGATTTGAAATTACAAATTTATCCTTGAACTAATGCATAGCTTCATCTGATGCCTGGTTATAGGTGCACACTGTACAGCACTGTACACTGTAACAGAATTTTGACCTATAACAAGTTGGGATTCCAACTGAACCAAGGCAGCAGGCAGGTGCACAGGCACTTCATACCATCCAACTCAAAATTCCATCCGATCCACCTGACCCAAACAATAATGAATTCACAGAAGAAACAGATGGCAGATAAAAAACAAGCTCCAGGAAAAAAAAAAAAAAAAAAAAAGGAAAACCAACAATCAAACCAAACAAAAAAACCAAAACAAGCAAAAAAAAAACCCACAAAATATTTTTTGGGCACAATCAAGCTTCTACATGTGCTACAAAACCAACAGCAGGATCAAACACAATGATGCACTGTGCATGGTGTAACTGCCTGAGCATATGTCACCTTCATGGTTTCTTTCAGCGTTGTGGCAACGAGCTGCAACTGAAACCCAAACCTCACGGAACAAGATCCATGTATGAGGATCTGTTCATCTCCTGCTACAGGACAAACCCACCCACGCAACCCACACGCCGCACCAACACCTGGACTCTCTGGGGAACCACTCCCGCCCAAGTATTTACTGTTATTTAAAGCGAGACGGGACGCGCAGCGCTCCCCCGAGGAACCCCC